GTGCTCGAACAGCTCAGAGCTTGGAGTGAGTATAACTTTGTTATTTCTGAACCTAGACACAAATGAGCACTTAACCCTTGCAGTGTAGGGGAAACCTCACTGCAAGGGTTATGAAAACATCTTCTTGGAGTTCTCCTTGGGAACATGAAATGTCATTTTCATTGTCATTCTTAAAAGGAGAACTATGGGGTTAGGGCACAAACTAGCGTCCTCCCATCACCCTAAGCTTAGTATACCGCGAGCTATAATCGCGGTATACTGAGGCGCCGCAGCTAAAACGGATCCCGACAATTATGTCTGGATCCACCCAGCTGCGTGAGTGAGACCCCATTCACACTGAGCGACATGGAAATCGCGCGACTTTGAGCGACGTGTCGCGCGACTTCTTCCTATTGGGCTGTATGCAATCAGGAGCAAAATCGCTCTAAAAAAGGGTCATGTAGGAGCGACGAGCTACAAGCGATATTGAGCGACGAGATGTGAACAGCTACATTGAAATGTATTGGTGAAGCTACATAGAGCGATATCGCTGCAAAAATCGCTCCATAAATCGCTCAGTGTGAATGGGGCCTGACAGCTGGCTCTGCCTATCTAGAGGCAGAGCCCGATGTACCTGCCCCCTCCCCTGTCCGTTCCGCCGGTCAGCGATGGAGGATCGGAGCGTGGAATCCAGCCCCCCCCCCGTCACGGCTCTCTGCGAGAAGTGAGTGAACGCTGGTATGTGTTCGCTCACTTCCCGATCTGTGACAGTTTTTGTCACAGGTCGGCTAGAACTATGAGGATGAGTGAAAATCACACACCTCATAGTTCTCCTTTAAGCATCTTTAGGAAAACATGAGTAGAAATTTCACATTTTGAGAGTCACCCGAAGAACAAAAGGAAGAAAGATCTTTCAGTGGGGACACCTGTCCCAGGGACAACTGTCTAAGAAGGGAACTTCCTTCACTTTGAGATTTCTTGAAACTTCCTGTTGTGTCTCTGGGTCAGGAAGTGATCACGTTCTGATGACGGGGGCATGCCCCAGAAAAGCGTCGACACCTCACTGATCTGTATACAGGACGTATCATACGGATCCATCCATTGCCGTGGTTTTTTACTGTCCTACAGCTTGTTATTCCACCCTTGTGAGTACCTGCCACCTTGTTTTTTATTATTGTTGAATAAACCAATATGCACTAGGAAAGGCGCCCCTCTGTTTTTTTGTAGATGTCTCAGTCACCCTGACTGCATCCTACACTTATGCTTAGTACTTATTCCTTATGAGGGATGACTGCCTCTGAATACCATTTTTTGTACACTCCCAGCACAGATTAATGGACGCATACAGGCAGCAGCCTGATGTTAAAGCCCACCTCTGTGACACCACATGTATGAGGCGGGCACCAAGAGGTTGACTTAAAGGGGATTTAACCCTTCCCTACTCTATAATAAATAAAAAAGAAGAAGCTGCTTGGATAAAAGAGTTCAATGTGCTATATGATGCCGGTTACTGAGGAAGTAAGCATAACCCATGCAATCCTAGATGTCAAGCACCACCCAACATTCACAACAACATAGAAGAATAGAAACAAGCGGATTCCTGTGACCTGTTCTGTGATCCTGACACCAGGAGATGCAGACTCCCAGCAGGCCCAGCCATGGAATATATGAGCATGCAATGCATAATGTCAGCCATGGCCAGCCTGGTGACATCATCAGCTGCCAGAGACTTGTGCCCGCTCCCCCATAATAAGATCGCATACACATCGATAACCCACCTTGAAATCTCCGCGGTACAGTCCGAGCAAGGAAGGTCACAGCACCGGTCTGCACAGGAAGTCACCAACGATATCCTCAGAACAGAGCGCCGCACTGTGAGCTCACTTCCCTCTACCGCCACCTGCTGGAAAAGCCGCGCTGCGCTTGTGTCCTTATATGAAGACAGGAAGCCTGCACTATACACAACCACTGCCCTTCACTTGAAGGGATTGTCCTTTAAATTAAACAATCCCTCTGACCCTTATTTATTAGCACCTGTCCCTCTTTTTTTGGTCTGATGTATAGACCTCTGTATAAATGTACTATTTAAAGAAGATTTCAATACATAAAATTAAATCTCCCATGTACTTGTATGTTTACAGTAATTAATTTCTGATTATTAGCATTATATATTAATGCATTATTGAAAAGTGCTTGCCGATCCTGCCAGTCCGCACTGCTCCTGTTTATTTAAGTTTTCAGGTCACTAGATTGCCACAGTTGAATGCTACTAGAATTGTCAGCCTCCACCTCATATCTCTTTTTCTGTCCTGGGGATGTAAAAGGTGGGAAAATGTC